CAGCTTGGGAATCTGGGAGTGCTTTGGGGATTCCTTTCAGGGAAACCAAAGGGTTTCCAAGCACATCCCACTGGTGAGATCTTGGCATTTGGGGCAAAGCAGGATGCAGATGGGAAAGTTGAACAAAGCAGGACTGGGATGCTCTGAGGTTGGAAGCAGAGCCTGGGAATTAACTCGGGAATGGGCAGGGGAAGCCCTGGGGCATGGCAAAGGCAAAGAGACCTTCGTTGATCAGTCCTGCTGATAGCCACTTTTATGGGCTGCAGCTCGGCGAGAGGCTCTGAATCAGGAATTCACCGGGTGTTTATCCTTCCCTGCTCCTCCACAAGATGCTTCGGATGCCGCAGGTTTTGTTCTGAGAACAATGACCTACTCGATGACCTTTGGCGCTGCTGTTTGAAGCCTCTTGGTGCTTGTCTTGGGCTGCGTTTGGTTTTGATGTGTATTTACAACCTAAATAACCCTGCTCAGGTTTCTTAAGTGTCGAGGAAACCTCAGGTCAGAGCAGCCCTGGCTGGTGGTGGATGCAGCAACACACAGAAGGTGTTTGGTTCCCTAATTAACCTTTGAATTCCTTAGTTAGACAGTGGAAATAGGTGGGGAAAACACCCCTGGGGATGAGCTCCCATGCCTAGGGGTGACTGGGGAGCACTGGTGATGTTTCCAACCCCAAATTCCACTTTTCTGGCCCGGTATGTTGATATAAAACCTGTCAAAAGAGCCTTGAAAGCAGCAGCAATTTCTTCCTGAGTCACTCCATAAAGTTTGTGCCTCTTGGCAGAAATCATGAGGGAAAGGTTATTGCTCTGGGTTTAAAGTGTTAATTTATGTGGTGTATTGGGTTGGATTTCAAGGTCCCCGAAGACCTTTGAATCTCAGTAGCTAATGAGGCTTGCAGAAATGATCCTGAGAGAGGCACAACTTGCTAGCAGTGAGCAATGGTGGTGGAAGAGCTCCAGGATTGAGCAAGTTTTGCAGTGGATAATCAGAAATGAACATGTTGCCCTTGGATGTTTGATTATTCCCAACTATAGATTTCCCTGCATCCCTGTCCTGCATCCCTCGTTCCTGGGGGAAGGTTTGAGCTCCAGGATTGGGCAAGTTTTGCAGAGGATAATCAGAAATGATCATGTTGCCCTTGGATGTTTGATTATTCCCAACTACAGATCTCCCTGAATCCCTGTCCTTCATCCCCCCCATCCCTGGGGGAAGGATTTTCCC